TTATCCTTAACTGATTGTGTCTCTTTGGCCACTTGAACGAAACTGGGCTCAAAAGATTTTTTTTAGATGTGGTGCCCAAGAAGACCCAAGCCAGTCTTTGTAGCATATGACAGGGTACAATGATGAGTGGTTGGCAGCCTGGTTTCCAGGGATAAGGGGAGAGGAAGCACTGAAGCCAAACCTCACAGAGAAGCAGACTAGAGCAGGGAGTCCTGGTGACGTCTGAGTTAGGGGTTTAGTGGGCAGGAATCTAGACGCATCATTGCCCTTCCTGCAGTCTCAAAGTTCCACTCTTCCATGAGGTACTTTATAGTAAATTCTTTTTCCTTATTCTAGTTTGAACGGAGTTTTCTGCCAGTTGCAGAAAGAATCCTAATTTCCCCTCCATTTATTTTTTTAAAGGAATGTGTTTTATTCCTTTATGGCTTCAAAACGTGACCCAACAATGAATAAAATAGCTCAAGTGTTTTAGTGTATTATAATGCCTAACACATAAAAACCATGATTCTCTTTCAATATAAATTGAGTATTTTCTTACTGCACTGCTTGAATTTCCCATAAGGTATCATTTCAGACGGTTAACTACGTAAGGATCTTCCCATAAGCTGTTGTTACATTGTGCTTTCTATGAGACTTTAATGACACAAAACAAAAGTCAGAACAACAGTAGCACTTACCATGTATTGACCTTTACTACAGTTTGCTCTGAACTAAGCATTTTATATGCATCAGTTTAATCAGTTCTTCCAACAGCCTTTACAGGTAAGTACTGTTACTATCCCCAGGACAGGCTTCCTTTTTAACTAGGTTAAAAATAAAACACATTTTAAACCTGTGAGTTTGATCTTAGGAGTGCTGGTGGTGCTGTAGGCTAAGCACAGACTGCTACCAAAAAGTTGTGAATTCAAACACACCAGTCACTCCTTGGGAGAAAGAGGAAGTTGGCTGTTCCCATAAAGGTATACAGCCTCAGAAATCCTATATGGGGTCCTGTGAGTCAGTACGGACTCGACAGCATCTAACAACAATGTAATCTTAACTAAGTAGATTTTCTTTTTTTAATTTGGCAAAATAGTGGGTTCTTAAAACTACTGTTGGGATTTCCTCATTTGACACATGCTAGATTTTTTTTAAGACTCATAAACAGTGCTCAGGTAATTAAGGATAGCTGTTTCCATTGAAATTTAGTTTACGTAATAAGCACTACAAAATATTGGCAATTTTCCATGATTTCCTACCTATTTACAAGTTGGATCTTGCAATTCAAACTTTCAAAACTGCAGGGCAGCTAATGGCCCTTCGAGCCAAATGTCTCCATTTTGTGATATATTGTAAATGCCAGCCTCTCTGCCTGGGAGTATGGACCCATTTTGAAATGAGTTGCTAAGGAGTAAAGATTAAAGTGGGCCCAAAGAATAAAAATCACAGTGGATCTAAGTCTTAAGAATCCCCACACCTTAGTAGAGGGTCACCACCATTATTTTCTCTTGGGGGCACAGTCTGACTCCAATTTATAATAATGCTTCAGATGCACTTGCTCTCTTGCCTTGGATCTTGCATCTGGCTCATTACCTCTGATCTCCAGTTCCTGGGACTTTCAGCCCATCACCTGACCGGATTCACCAGCTTCCAAAGCAAAGCCTCATGCAGCAACAGCCTATCACCTGACCTGCCGGTTTGAGTACCTCAGCTGCTAAGACAATATGGATGAAAAGATTCCTCCAGACTGATTACCGAACTACAGATTTGGGACTTGCCAGCCTCCACAATTTTGTGATCCATTTCTTTAGACAACTGTGAGTTTTGTGAGGTGTTGCAGTGTGTTGAAGAACCCTGGGACTTGAGGGGAGGGAGGAGTGGTGATTCATATCAGTGACTATGGGTGTGCAGAACATATCAGAAAACGTTAGGGATAATGTGAACTTCCAACACATGAAATTATTCGTACCAAAACTAAGCTGATTTTAAAACAGAATTTTTAACTATTCAAGATTATACAAGTCAACAAATTAAAGAACTTTTTTTCCTCTATTTTTTAACACTTATCTACACATTATATGGAGTCCTGGTGTGGCGCTGTGAGTTAATGAGCTGGACTGCAAAATTGGTTTGAATCACAACGTCGGTGGTTCAAGCTCACCAGCCATATACGACTCCTATACCAGGTCGCTATGGGTCGGAACCAACTCAACGGCACTTAACAACAACAACATATTATATATACTCTGTACAATTTTACCAATGAAAATAATAATGCTGATTTCATACAAAACATCCCTTTCAGTTGTACATTACCTATTCAGAAGGTTCTCTACTTCTTGAACTTCCAATATGGTGTCTTCGTCGTCAGGAAGGAGACGAGCTTGGAATTTTCTGTCTTGGAAATCATACAGCATGACAATAATAAGACTGCTCAAATGATCTGGCTACCAAGGGAAAACACATAAAGTAAAAGAGACAAAACAGCATCTAATAGCATCTAATAGCAATATCCATTCTATTCTTTTTCAAAGGAAGCAGAAATATGACTGGTTTTAGATAGCATGGTTGGATTAGGAGATAGGGAAAGTCTTGAAAATAGAAAAAAAAATCTAGTAAAAAAATAAACTTTCAAAAGAGTCAATTTTTGGTGTGCTCATCAGAATGAAAGTACACATGGCCAATATTAAAAATAGGAAAGAGTTAGAAAAATATTTTGAGGCGGTCTCGTAGCATGAAACAAATGATCGATTACTTAAATCTCGAAGTTTTTATTTTAAGTACTTTACAATTAATAATCATGAGACAAGCTAATTATATAAAAGTTGTTACTTACTATTGTGGTACTTGGGAAGATATAACTGTCTATTAATATACTTTCCAAAATATCTTGATCTGCAAGACAAGGAAAATGTCTATAACTGAAAAGACCTAAGTTGAAAATGAAATTTAGGAATCAAATACACTTTAACCAAAGCCATAATATGCTTTTATTTTTATATCTAAAATGTATTACAATCCTTGAAAAAGACTTATATGAAAATATTATGATGGACTATTTTTAATCTGTATTTGAATCCCGGACCTTTATTTGAATTCATAACCCTGACTCCATGTGCAAAGAATTATCACTCAGGGGTCAAAATGAGTGAGACCAGAATTCCAGTCTTTCAGTTTTGTCCTTTGGAAAACATTAAAGAGGACCTAACTGATCACGGTGAATAACCCTTCTCCTCTCCCTTATCTTGCCCTGCCCCATTTTCTCACACCTCATAATGTGTCAGAGTTTCTCTTTTGCCAAAATGTCCCCTAAATACTTGTTCATAGATTTTTCTCTCTGGTGTTATCAACCTCTTTTTTGGACCCACTTAGCCTGTTTCACTAAATCTTTCCCCTCCTCACTGCCCACTTCCAGTTCTGCCTCACAAACATTCAACCAATTATTTAGCAGAAACAGATTCTGTGGCTGGTGTGAAGACATGGGGAGAAGAGTCTATAGACTGTTTTTCTTTTAACCTAATCACACATAATTACAAAGAAAGTTACATTTTATGCAAGAAATGCATGTTTCACAGCCTTCTGACTGTCAAGCCATTGAGTTGAGTCTGACTCATGGCACCCAGGTAGCTCCATAGGGTTTGTTTAGCTGTAATCTTCACAGAAGCAGACAGCCTTTTCTTCCATGATGTCACGTAGGTGACTCTGAACCACCAACCTTTCAGTATCAAAATCAAACTGTATGCACCACGTAACGACCTCTTAAAGACCTTGCTTATGTATGAAATATAATTGTCATTTTAGTTTATTTCTCTAAAAGCATTAATAAATGATATAAAATACATCTGTTGTTATTGTTAAGTGCCCTGGAGTTGGTTACAACTCAGAGTGACCCTGTTAGGGTTTCCAAGCAGCAACTGGTGGGTTTGAACTGCTAACCTTGTAGTTCAAACAGACCTTGCAGTCCAGTGCATTATCCTACAGCATCATACCAGGACTCCAGAAGACACTGATGCATGTATATAAGTAATAAAATGAAAAGAGTCCTGATAGAGAAAACAAAACAGAAAGAACAAAACCCCAAACCACTGTTGTTGAGCTCATTCTGACTCACAGGTATGCTACAGGGCTGAGTGGAACTGTCTGTCCCATAGGGTTTCCAAGGCGGGAAATCTTGACAGAAGCAAACTGACATGTTTCTCCCACAAAGTGGTTAGTGGGTTCGAACTGCCAACCTTTTGGTTAGCACTGGAGTGCTTTAACCAGTGTGCCACCAAAGCTCCTTGATAGAAACTACAACAGACAGAGCAGACAATATGCATAAAAAAGCAATTCTCATTCAATTTCTGGCTAAATAATAACCTTACTTTCCTAAATGAGTCTTAATCTCCTCAGTTGCTGTTGTAAAGTGCCATTGAGTCAATTCCAACTCAAAGCAACTATATATATGTTGCTGTTGTTAAGTGCCGTCAAGTTGGTTCCGACCCATAGTGACCCTGTATAGGGTTTCCAAGGAGCAGCTAGTGAGCTTGAACTGCCAACCTTGCAGTTCAAACTGCTTTGCATCTGGTGCATTAACCCACAGCGCCACACCAGGGTTTCCAAAAAGCAGATGGTGGATTTCAACCATCAACCTTTTGGTTAGCAGTCCAGTGCTTGTCGCATGGTGCCACACCAAGATATTAACACCTGGTGTACACTTCTAGCTTACAACAATTCCACTTCACTGGGAACAACTGTGCCCTCCCCCCAGGAATTCTACAGGAGTTTGTTTGCGACTCAGAATCTGACTCCACTGGCTTCGGGTAACGATCAAGGCAATGTACCTAGCTCACACAGAGACAATAAGATCCCTCCTATGGAAATTTAGATAGGGACTGATAGATGCATTAGGCTAAAAGAAGAAACTAGCATACAGTTGTAACACAAATGTTCAAAAATGGAGTATAACTGTATGGCTTTTTCCACATAGCTAGCAAAAGCAGAACTACAGAGAAGAAGAGAACCAAGCAGACACTAAGAAAGACGAAATAAAAATGGAAATGTTTCAACAAACGGACGCACTGCTGGAGGTGCTCACTCTTCTATGCCAGGAAATTTGGAAGACAGCTACCTGGTTAACCAATTGGAAGCGATCCACCCGTGTTTCTGCCCATTCCAAAGGTGACCCAATGAAATGCAAAATCCATCCAACAACATCATTAATGTCACATGTAAGTAAAATTTTGCTGAAGATAATTCAAAAGCGGTTGCAGCAGTACAACAGAGGACTGTCAGAAATTCAAGTTGGATTCAGAAGAGGACATGGAACAAGGTATGTTGATGTCAGATGGATCTTGGCTGAAAGCAGAGAATACCAGAAAGATGTTTACTTGTGCTTTACTGACTATGCAAAGACATTCGACTGTGTAGATCTCAACAAACTATGAACAACATTGCAAAGAACGTGTATTTCATAACACTTCATTGCACTCATGAGGAACCTGTATATAGACCTAAAGGCAGTCGTTCGAACAGAACAAAGGGAAACTGACTGTTTAAAATCTGGTAAGGTGTACGTCAGGGTTATATCCTTTCACCACATTTATTCAACCTGTATACAGACTAAATAATATGAGAAGCTGGGTTAGATGAAGAAAAACATGGCATCAGAACTGGAGGAAGACTCTTTAATTCTGCAGATTACACAACCTTGCTTGTTGAAAGTAAAAAAGACTTGAATACTTACTGATGAAAATCAAAGACCACAGCCTTCAGTATGAGTTGCACCTCAATGTAAAGAAAACAAAAATCCTAACCACTGGAGCAATAAATAGCATCTTGATAAATGGAGAAAAGATTGAAGCTGTCAATGATTTCATTTGGTTTTATCCAACAATCAATACTCATGGAAGCAGCAGCCAAGAAATCTAACGACATACTGCATTAGGTAAATTTGCTGCAAAAGTCCTCTTTAACGTGTTAAAGGGCAAAATACTCACTTTGAGGTCAAAGTTGCACCCAACCCAAGCCATGGTATTTTGAATCACCTCATATGCATGGGAAAATTGGGAAATGACTAAGGAAGACCATGGCGTTAGAAAAGAGTATTAGAAGTATCATTAACTGTCAGAAGAACTAACAGATCTGTTTTGGAAGAAGTACAGACAGAATTCCTCCACTATCAG